GGGAAAACCTGCACATTTAGAGGCTGCCTGTGCTCTGCTCCAATCCCTGCTCCCTGCTTGTGGCGTGGAGGCGTGGTGTCACCGCAGCCGCGAGATCTTTGCAGCAGAGAACCAGTTTTAACCGCCATAAACTGAGGTTTGTCAGTTTCATTACCTCAGGAACGCTAACAGGAGGAAAGGAGATCCATGAGGTTCACAGCCCTTGTAAGGTGGCCTTCCGATCCCCACATCCTGCACCTGCAGCCCTGAGACCAGGGAGACGAGTTTCACAGCTCTGTGTGATCACCCCAGCCCAGTCCGTCATAAACCAAATTATTGATATTTCTTGAAGTGACACACGACCCGAGGAAGGCTACACTTTTCCCCGATTTTCGACACACCAAGCTGAAAAGGTTAGCCATCACTGCCCTACGCCATCCTGTTCAAATGGCTGTCCAGTCTCTTCTGGAAGACTTTCATCGATGGAGCAGCCACAACTTCTGGAGGCAAATTGTTCCCCTGGTTAATCATTCTAACCATCAAGAGGTTTCTCCTGAATTCCAGGTGGCTTTTCTCCTGGATGAGTTTCCATCCGTTGCTCTTTGTCCTGCCCTCAGGGGCTTTGGAGACCCCCCTCCTCTCCTTTGGGGCAGCCCCTCAAATATTGGAAGATGCTATCCTGTCCCCCCTAGGCCTCCTTTTCTCTAGACGAGCCAAACTGAAATCCTGCAACCATTCTTTGTATATTTTACTCCCCGGGCCTTTATTCCGCTCAGTTGCTCTTCTTTTTGCAAACTCTCAACCTCTTTTTTTTTTGTCATGTGGTGACCAAAACTGTCTTGGTGGAATGATACACAACTATTCAGGCCCCGGGAAATACTCAAAGACGGTATTTTATACAGGAGCACAAGCGGGACAAGATAACAGGTCATTCTCCACTTACGACCAGAATTGACCCCAACATTTCTGTTCCTAAGTGAGACATTTGTTAAGTGAGTTTTGCTCCATTTTATATATATTTTTCTTGCCACACTGCTTAAACAAATCGCTGCAGTTGTTATGTTAGTGACGTGGTTGTTCCTTGATTAATGACCAGTCCTCACACTCATGACTGTTACAGCGTCACCAGGGTTACAGGATCAAAATGAAGGTGCGTGAACCACCCGCATCCCAGGACAGGGGGACAGCCAGGGGTGACTTTCCCAGCCAGCAAAGTCAACGTGGGAAGACAGATTCGCTTAATGACGGCCTGGTTCACTGAACAGCTGCAGTGATTCACTTAGTGACTGTGACAAGAAAGGTCATAAAGTGAGACAAAATTTACTTAACAGGTGTCTTCCTTAGCAACAAAAATCCTAATCCGAATTGTGGTCGTAAGTCCAGATGTTGTGAATGCTCCAACACTGGAAGTTTTGAAGAAGAGATTGGACAACCATTTGTCTGAAATTATGTAGGGTTTCCTGTCCAAGCAGTCGGGTAGGACTAGAAGACCTCTAATGTCCCTTCCAACTATTCTCTTCTCTTCTATTTTTATTCTCTTCTCTTCTGCATTCTACTCTATCCTATCCTATCCTGCATTCTATTCTATTCTGTATTCTATTCTATTTTCTCTTTTATTCTATTCTGCATTTTTTTTGTCTTCTGTATTTTATTCTACTCTAGTTTCTACTCTATTCTATTCTGCATTCTCTTCTATTTTCTATTTTATTCTATTATATTTGTATTCTATTATTTTCTATTCTATTCTGCATTTTCTTCCCTTCCCTTCCCTTCCCTTCCCTTCCCTTCTCTTCTCTTCTCTTGTCTTCTCTTCTCTTCTCTTCTCTTCTCTTCTCTTCTCTTCTCTTCTCTTACGACCTGTAGTGGGATTATAGCTCCCTATTCCCAATTTTGGCCATTTCCAGATGCTTGGACATCAAATCCCGGATTCCACAGCCAGCTTGGCTATTGATGAGAATTCTGGGAGTTGAAGTCCACAGGCCTGGAAACCGCCAACACTGGGCATTTTTTTTTTCTGGCTCTCCCTCACCAAAGGACGCGCTGCCCTCTAATGGCCCGAAAAGAAATTCTTCTTGCATTTTTTTATCCTTCCCATTCTAGAGCAGTAGATTATCCATAATCAGATCTGGTCAGGATGAGAACAGAGGATTTAGTACAGGGGTCCCCAAATTTGACAATTTTAAGACTTGTGGACTTCAACTCCCAGAATTCCTCAGCCAACAGAC